ACAGCCAGCTATTGATAGATTGCGTAACCCAACAGCTAGCTATTTACTTATCACGTAACCCAACAGCTAGTTATTCATTTATCACGTAACCCTACAGCTAGTTATTAAATGGTCAATAGCAAATAAGCTATATATACTAAGTATATTTGATCTATATCATAGCTTATCAATTCAACTATAGCCCTGAGCTATTTCATTTTGTTCCTAATACTCTTAACATTAGAACAATAGCAATTAAGCGTATACTTGATTGTACTTCGTTTATCTTTAAATCTGACTATTATTTAACTTGTTATGATGTTAATCTTTTTTGTCCAATCTCATCGTTGACATATCTATTTATCATATCGTTTATTCCCAATTTCCCGAGGCCTCACAACATCATGCAAGTTTAGAATAAATTATCTTTAATGAATATTTTGGAGCTTCTCCAAGCGTATCGTCCTTCCAATGTCTACGGATTTATAACGCTAAAATCCGGGGTTCAATTTCCCGCGGTGGACACAGCAAACAGCCGAATGTGGTTTTTCTTTCAAACAAATAAAACCCAAGCTTATCCCTGACAATTTTTCATGTAAGCCTTGCATCCTGCAAAATAATTCATTGCTACATTTAGCCCGAGTGAGCCTCCCGAAAGGGCTACATGCCTATTTATACCCATAGACTTCTGAAGGATTTTTCTATACTTTTCAAGTAGCTCTTTTGGTATACAAAGTCATTCGCTCCTACATGCACTACAAAATAAAATCATCATTGGTACCAGTAGCTAAACTGTGAACGCTTGGCAGCCAAATCCTAGTCCTTGTTTTTCTATACTCCCCACACAAATGACTTTATACGTATTCTTAATGAGATAGTACACTACCATGTACTCCTCTTGATAACCTCATTTCTCATTGTAAACAGCCAAAGGTTCAAATCTCTTAGACGATGGTAACTAAATGTTAAATGAACCTGTCTCTACAGTCTTAACTATGTTACCACTGTGCACACTAGTATACCCCCCACTGTCATTCTCACCTTCTCCCAAAGCAACCTTTATTCTAATGCTATCCATTCCCTGTCGTGCTTCCTGGATTTCTGCTCCTAATCTGCTATCCCCCCCCCCTCTAATGGTGCAACCTTCCCCAAAACTATCTGTAACTTATCTCTACAAGCGTGTTGTACTGTATCTTTTTGAGCCTCATGAAAGTTGCAATCATGCCCACAATTCTCAAACATAACCCATTCCTTGCACCTATCAAACCCTACACATTTCACTCCACATATTCCCGAATTACCTATAACAATATTACAGTTCTATTAGTTTTTATTCTCTATTACCACAATCTACCCGTCCAGTAGGTAAAAACTATATGTTTAACTAAAATTAAGCCATGTCACAGTTTATGGATTAAATTGTACCTAAATCTAACACTAAAATTTCCTGTTAACTGATACTGATACTACTAATTACTAATACTACAGTGACAACGTAAACCACGTATTTAGTTACTCGTTACTAATTGCAAATTTATAGCTTACTAATGAATTAAATTATCTGCAGCTGTCAAATAATAATAGACAAAATCATTTCAGTTTCTAAAATCCATAAATCCTCTTTCTTTCTAACTAACACTTGTAATCATCTTTTGTTTTAATCTAACATTTAATAACTGTAATATCCTATAACCCGGTACTAGTGCTATCTAAAAACAACGAGTTAAGCCTAGCCATCAACAACCATAAGTATTTCTAATTTCTCTGTCTCATAGCTTATAAATAGTTCGTCTGTTACTCTAAACATCTTATTCTATCCCAAGTTAGATGCAATATAATGAATATATCAGAAATAGTAGTGTAAAGTACGACTTATTCACTTTTATTTTTGTATTTTCTATAATAATGTTTAGTGGCGTTAATAAATTCGCCATCTTGTTTTTATTTCTGTGTCTCCTCTATGTGTGCGTCGCTTGTGTTTCCATGATTATCTTCATTGTTGTATAACCTAGCACCCACTGAATAATTACATAACTCAACATTAACTGAGCTCTATATATAATAACTCAACAGAAACTGGGTGATCATGTTATTTGGCAGTAGTTAAATATAACCCAGTATTTCATTGTCACTCTGTTTCAAATGAACAAAAAGTCTAAATCACCGTTCTAATTATATTTTATTCCCTCATCCTGGATAAACTTTAATTTTTTTATTATATTAGTTTTTCTAACTCTGCTTTATCCTTACTTAGAATTGTGAAGTCCGAAGGAAAGATCTGATGCCCATGTTCTGTCTGTGGATGCAGAATGCTGAACTAGGTGGACTTGAAAACACATTACCGCTCTTAAGACACTCCGAGATACTCGCAGACATAGGTGGCGTTACGGTCACAGCATGTATATTTGTAAATTATCCATGATTGCAGGCAGTAAACTGCAGAGGACACTGAAATGGCAAAGCTTCATTGACAAAAAGAACACTCTTCAAGCATCGTAGGCAAGCGTTTCTTTGTTGTTGTTCTTGTTTTGTGGGGGAGATGGTGTTAGAGGAGACTATGACAAGTCCCTATGTGGAATCATGTGGAACTTTTCGTAGTTGTTGACAATTTTTATGACAGGGCAGGAAGGCAGGGGCTTGAGCCCACCCAGATACCCTCTTGTGCCCGTCACTGATTGCAGGGACGTGGGTAGCCTCAAAAATATTTAAAGATTGCATTCTTTTTAACTTACAGAGAAAACCTTCTTATTAAGTCTTAAATTATTTGGAAAATAGAAATTAATTTGTCTTCCTAAGTAAGGTTTGTTTTGTCGTTAAGCGCAAAACTACACAGTAGGGTATCTGTTCTGCTCATCGCGGGTATTGAAACCCGATTTTTAGTGTCATAAGCCCCAAACTTGGTGGCTTAGCCTTAAATAAGATGCAATAAGAAATATAGGTCATTTAGGTGCTGTGTATGGTCTATGAAGTTGGCAATTTTTTATATTCATGAATATTTTAGTTACCTTGTCAACTGCGTTTTCTTTTTCTACATGCATTACGCATTAGCGTGTCATGTAAAATATTATTTCCGGGTGAAAATTGAAATATAGCGAAAAGTAAATTAAACTAGTTTAGTGCAGGAAGCTGTCAAATTGAGTAAAAAAAATACGAGAAATGTTCTTTCAGTATATATATATATATATATTTAGTCCACCTGCTTCAGCAGTTCACAACGATGGAGTGAAAATTGCGCAAAAAATATCTCATTCGGATTTCATACGTATACGGGCAAAACACTAAACTCTTAATAAAAAAAAGAATATTCATAAAATACGACCATTCTCTTTTATATGTAAAACGCTTCATAATCTTCTTTTGTCCTGAAACTTTAGACTTTTAATCCCAGCCTTTCATTCTTTATTATCTATTTTATGTAAGGCCTCTCCCGGTGTCTCAGCAGTAAGTTAGAGGGCTTATAACGCTAAAAACCGGGTTTCGATACCCATGGTGGGCACAGCACAGATAACACATTGTATGGCTTTGTACTTAATAACAAACAAACAGTTTTATATAAAAATAATAATCGAATCATAATACTGTGACTTTAATACTATTTTATTTATAAGCTTTAATTTAAAAGGGATAGTATTTTACGTAGTGATATCCCGCTCTACACCCACGGTTAGTGTTTCCTCCGTTTTACAAAAAACACCGTTAATGTTACCCTGTGCTACAACCATGGGTAGTGTTACCCCACTCTAAAGCTATAAGTACTGTCATCCCACACTACGAACACCAGTGGTATTGTCCCACGCTTCAACCATTAGTAGTGTTACTTCATACTGCACCCAACAGTAATTAAAGCTCGCACAAGCCATAAACGTAGACTAGGCTAGAATCACACGAAAAACACAACAACAACAAAAACGCCATTAGGAAGTTAGATGACAAGTTATTGCGTGAAAACCACTGAAGGGAAAAAATACTTTCGTTGCTTGGTGTTATCATCTGAAAACAATCGTGCGAGACCACGTGACTTCAATCTCTGTGTACCAGAATACATTTCTGAACAAGATAATCTAAATTGAGACTGGCTAACACGCGTTGCAATCGTCATGCCAGGAATATAAATCACGACGATCGTCACGTGAAAGCATCAGTTATTAAATATAGAGATAAAAACAAACAGATAAAAAGCTAAGTCAACCTCTGATCATTATATCTTATAACGCTGTCTGAAGGAGTGAAGTTTCTTAACATAACCTTAATTGAAGTTCAGAGTGCAACTTTCCATGAGGCTGCATGCCAAAATCACTATACCGGAAAAATAAGTGACTCGTGTATTGCAGAATGGGCTGAAGTTTCCAATCCTTGTGTAATTTTGTTGCTATAAAAATGCGAAAGGTCAACAAACCCTTATGACTTATAGGCTTAAATAATAACATATACGTTTTGATGTTCAATTTATCATGTCTAGTTATCTTTCTAAATAAACATGTATAGTATTACCGTGGTTAGTAGGTTATTTGATTCCTTGCGCTAAGACATTTAGAAGGTGGAAAATGGATGAAATGAGAAAGTCAAGTGACTTCTTGCAATAGAGAGGTGTAGATCTGGTATTTAAATGTAACCTCGTAAGCAACGGTATGGTCACAGAACAGTGTCAGTTTATTTGCCTCGTAAGCAACGGTATGGTCACAGTACAGTGTAAGTTTATTTGCCTGGTAAGCAACGGTATGGTCACAGTACAGTGTAAGTTTATTTGTTGTTGTTGTTTTCATCTTTATCGCTTTAAAATCCTCATATACTGGACAATTTTCTAACATTTTTATTTTATCTCTTCGGTTCAGTAAAAAAAAAAAAAGAGACAGACAAGTTTATTTCAGCTTGTCAAAAATACATGTCCACCTACGGGATAATCATGTACAAAAAAAGTAGACGCCTTTAACGAATCCAAGTGGGAACTAGATTAAAAGTTGACCTGTACATTTTCTGATTTGAAGACACAGTCAACTTCAGTTTTAGCCTTTAGCCAATCAGAAAATGTACAGTGTGTCTTCAAACTAAAGGCTAAAACTGAACAGGGATTGAGAGGTAAGCCGAGAATTTGATATATTTACGTTACTAACGCTGTAGGTGACAAACATAAGATTACATGTAAGTAGAATCTTGTTGACACTCTAATTTAAGAACGCATGTTGTTGGCACTCCAATCTAAGAAGGCTGTTGTTGAAACTCCCATGTAAGAACGCTGGTGTTAACACTCTCATGTAGGAATGCTCCTGTTGATATTGTCATGTAAGAACGCTGTTGTTGACATTCCCATGTTAGAACGCTGTTGTTAACACTTTCACGTAATAATGCTGTTGTTGATACTGTTACGTAAGAACGCTGTTGTTGATACCGTCATGTAAGAACGCTGTTGTTGACACTCCCATGTAAGAACGCTGTTGTTGACATTTCCGTGTAAGCACGTTGTTGTTGATAATACTGTGTTGTTAGAATACTGTTGGTGACACTGTGTAGTAAGAACGCTATTGTTGACACTGTGTTGTAAGAAGGTTGTTATTGACACTGTGTAGTAAGAGCGCTGTTGTTGATATTATCATGTAAGAACGCTGTTGTTAATATTGTCATGTAAGCACGCTGTTTTTCATACTGTGTTGTAAGAATGATGTTGTTAACACTGTGTAGTAACAACGCTATTGTTGACACTGTGTTGTAAGAAGGTTTTTGTTAACACTGTGTAATAAGAACGCTGTTGTTGATATTGTCATGTAAGAACACTGTTGTTGATACTTCTACAGTAGTTAACTTCACGCCAACTTTATTCTCTTTTGCAGTTATCTGTCTGCTTCTGTATGCTGTTCTCGCTATTTATATCTATATCACTTAATCGCCTGTCTGCCTTCTATACATTTGTTGTTGATACGTTGTTTTTGATACTGTCATGTAAGAACGCTGTTGTTAACACTTTCTTTTAAGAACGCATGTTATTGGCACTGCAGTGTAGCATCGCATGTTGTCCGTACTGTCATGTAAGAACGCTGTTATTAGCACTTTCATTTAAGAACGAATGTTATTGGCACTGGAGTGTAGGACCGCATGTTGTCCATACTGTCATGTAAGAACGCTGTTATTAGCACTTTCATTTAAAAACGAATGTTATTGGCACTGGAGTGTAGGACCGCATGTTGTCCATACTGTGATGTAAGAACGCTGTTGTTGATACTGTCAGATACAAACATGGTTGTAGCATTCACGTGTAAGAAAGCGTGTTATTGATACTCTCATTAAGAAAGATAAACATGTTAATAGATAATAGGCGTGATACTACTTCATGATAAAACATGTAATAATTTTAAACACAATTCATAACTTGCTTAACACAAATTGCCATTAGGAAGTGTATAATAGCGTATTAATTGGGCACACTTTTACTACACGCTACTTGTTCGTCTAACAAGATGGGTTATGTTTTTTTTTGTTTTTTGAATTTCGCGCAAAGCTACACGAGGGTTATCTGCGCTAGCCGTCCCTAATTTAGCAGTGTAAGACTAGAGGGAAGGCAGCTAGTCATCACCACCCACCGCCAACTCTTGGGCTACTCTTTTACCAACGAATAGTGGGATTGACCG